CTGTTGGAATAGAGCTGGCAGTAGGGAAGAAGATACACCTCTTTGGGTGTCTATTGACACAGGCCACCTCACTAGGTTTAACAAAAATACATTATTTCTTAACATGTACCCTGTGTGAAACATAAAAATATAAACTTTTTGAGGTTCACTATTACATCTACATTTGTATAACTTGAGATTTTGTAGTCATTTTAGGAATATATGTTTTCCAGGATTTGACTAACATCATCCGTGTCCTTTACTGTTGTATATTGATGTCTGGGAGGTTAAAGGTTCAGTTTGGTACAGCGGTCCACATTTTGTTTTTCTACCCTGGATGGTGTTCTTACTGTTGACCCCACCAAATGTGTAGAAACAGGAGCTAGAAAGAGGAGGTATGAGCTACAATTTGATGTATGTAGTTTGAGCATTAGTTTATTCTTGTGTCCTGGTCTTTGCATTTTATTGATTTATTTATTCCAGATCTCTGTTGGTTTTTTCCCTTGATTTACTATTGTCTTTTTGATGTAGTTTAGATTAATTTGTGTCTCCCTCCCCAAGTCTCCCTGCTTTCAACCTGCTTCAGCTAATGCTTATTTCCCCCTGTCAAAGCCACCTGCATCTTTTAGTAATCCTCCCCTTTTCCCTCAGTAAATAAGATCCCTGGTTCTCATTGTTCATAGCTGGATTCCTCTGTTAGACTGTATGTTACTCTGACTGTAACTCAGCTTGTATTTAATTACCTGCTCTCCCTGCGGGTTCCTTTCTAGGTTCTCCTTTATTCATCTACGAATTACATTTACCACAATAAGTTTCTAACCTTGGATTCTGCACCACCTACACATTATAACAATGCATAAAATGTCTACCGTCTTGGATTTAAATTTCGCAGCTAAATATGTATGCTTTGCCTTTGAACTTGCCTGTGAAGTTCATGACATGGTGAAAGGTATGTGTCTTTACTGTATTTATGTTGAGCAAACATTCCCCTGCCATACTATAATTCCCCTGCCAGAAATATCAGCAAATCAAAGGAAAGTTATAAGTAAAAATTGACATACTTTGTGTTTATATTACAGTTTATTAGTATATTACAGTACATAAATCTGGGGGAAGGTGCTGGATTTTAGGGTTTATTCTTCTTTGGGTCTATCTACAGGCATTGTAGCCCTATAATGGTTTATCTTCTTCAGGAAAGAAATGTTTTGTTTCTGCAGCAAACCACATTAAAAAAACGAATAAATTATACCAACTTCCCTTGCTAACAGGCTCTTAAACAATTCTAATTCTTAGCAATTATTCTGACACCCTAGAGTTACTCACGCCCAGAGCTTTAGTATTTTATTTTTAGGAAAAGTGCATGAAACAAAAAGACTAACAGATAATGTTTAATATTTATAGAATCCATTACTTAAACATTTTAGAACTGCATTTCATCTTAACTACTATTATTTATTCATTTGGTTTAAATATATTTACTGATCGTTGAGTCACATCAACTGCAGCTGGATGTGAGCTTTTATGCTCATTTTTACAGCCTGAAAGCTGTCAGCATTCTCCCCTGCCGTTCTCCCTACTGTTCTCGCATTATCTTCAACAGAGTGAACCTTATCTACATCCACACAACAACCCAGTTCGCCATTACTATCCATCCTGTTTCTCAGGCAAAGCCGTGCATCATTAGTGCATCTGAAGCTCCTCAGCTGTCACGTGTACAGCTCCTAATTTTCTTCACTTGTCAGTAGACCTCAGCAATCTCCTCCTGTACACATCATTCAGCTTATATGAGAAGTCCTTAATGCAAAAGCGAAGAGGAGGAAGGATTCTTAATTGGAGTGTCTTTTTAGTCTAATTGCATCTGGGACCTCATCAAGCTCCATCCTCCTCACAACCCCGACTGACATTCGTATGTGTGTCTTTGTGATCCCCGTCAAATTGAAGGCAGTTTATGGTTTGGATCATATGAATTTCACAGCTGATTTAACTGCTGCCTGTTTCCTCCTCGCTGAGGAGCAGAACTAAATAATCAACATGCTGGATCTCAGGCCCTCCAGCGTTTTTTTTTGCTAATTCATTCTGAGAAATATTGTGTAGTGGCGGGTTGGACTGCAGCTGTAACATCATCTTTGACTAACAAGGTTGCCTTTTCTTTAGGAGGGGGAGAAAACCGGTCCAGGTAAGCTGAGGCGATCTCAGGCTGTAAAAATGGATAAACTCGGGTTAGATATCTCTAAAGGGTTCCTTATGTCTGGATGTCAGGGACAGAAATCCCATGCTTCCAGCTAACAGCTGTAAAGCGTACTGTACTCCGTCTCCCATGTCCTTCAGCCTTACAGCTGTGGTTGTCATGACAACAGGGGCTAATCTCCAGTGGACGGCGAAAAAGTGCAAGAGCTTGCATGAAAACGTGCTTCTGATTTCAAATAAACGGGAGTTTATTTCACGACATCTGTAGGATTTTTTTTCTTCTTCATTTATTATGTTCCTAGAATCCCTCCTGATTTTAGGACTAATATATTTTGCCCTACATCATCTATGAAGAAAGAAATCATTTATACTCTTTAGTCTTTTTTTTTCTCCTATTTTCCATTCTTTTACAGTGAAAAATGTTCTTTTATATAATTCTCTTTGCAAAGAGCCCAACATCTCCTTTTTAACCTTCTAAAAAATGATCTAACCTAAACTACATGTGCTCTTCTTTTTCATTTCCTCTCATGTCTAAATCCAAAAGCCTCTGCCTTCCTCATTGCTCAGCAGGGACCACCAAAGCATGTCACGGATGATTAGGGTTACATGACTAGAAGGCAGCATGTGGGTGAATATAAGGTACATAGATTTATACCGGGAACATCAAACAAAACTGGACTGATTGTTTGATTTTCTGCGTGGCTTGTAGTTGATAACATTTTTACAGAAGACGATTAGGGCCACTGGAAAAAAAAAAGTTAACTGATTTTTAAATTTATATTAGTATCATATGAGAAAAAAGTCAGAATTCTGACTTTAATCTGAGAATTTGTTATGTTTTACTTTGCTTTATGTTTTCTAGTTTAAATGGTTTCATTCCTATTGTGTTGTATTTTCTATATATATTTCAGTTCTTAGGTTTTTATTTGTTTCCCTCTTGTTGGTCCCCTTTTCCCTAGCTCCTTTCTAGACTCCTCTCTTCACACCTGCTCCCAATCTGCGCGTTAGTTAGATCATGAATACTCTCCTTGTGCAGTTCCTCAGTGCTGG